AGTTGTTTCTTTAGTGTGAGCGGAATTTGAAGCACAAGATCTTCCATGGGTATGGCATCTTTGTCCTAAAATTTGACAACAAAAGAAGAAATCAAAACCTGCAACTTAAGGTTCATGTTGACTTCTAAATTAAATAACAAACCTCTTCATAGTGATCACACAATATCTGGAAGAGGTAAGCCTAGATAGGAACTACGGATCACAGAGCATACCTTAATGACAGAGTCATTCTTTCGCTTTTTTCCTCTTGAGACTGCACATAATTTCATATCAAAAGTAAGAGCAATGCATATTATATACACATTCATCTTGCAAGGGAAGTTAATAAAAATATATATTTTCAAAACCCAACCTCTTATCATCCTAATTCAAGAACCATAACCAATTTATGATCATGACTGAAGAAAGCATGCTGTTAAATCTTTTTCATGAGGTAGTGGCCTATTAAGACTTCTTTTCTCCAGAGAACAAATTTGTTAACCACATTGTTACTTTTGCAGTTTCTCATAACCATTATACTTACTCCTACCACTTCTTTCTTTCCACCTCTTCAAAGGGCAACATTTACGGTCCTTAAACCTCAAAGCTCACCAAAAAATTAGGAAGGTTCAGGTCACATGCCAAAATTTCTGCTTTGTTAGGCCAAACATTTCTGTCTTCGTTCAAAACTAATGAATAAAGAAAAAAAAGTACAAGTTCTGCACTACATCTATCTTTTCTTTTTTAAGACACTACAAAAATTGTAATCCATTCCATACTTGCATGGAAGGAATAAATCTATAGCTTTCAAAATCAGGAAACAGAAAGGTCAAAGTTAAAGATGATAAAGCCAACCATAATAACCTTTTTGTTTAGTCTGTGACGTGCGTGGTAGCTTTGCATTCTTGTGTGTTCTCTGGTTCGCATTGAGCTGCTCTTGTTTCCTCACATTCTCATCAGTGTTTTTCATCAGACGATCCAAGTGTACCCACTCATCCCAACTGTTGAGGGCAGCAAAAGGGAGAAAAAGTCAAAAAGATAAAATGAAATCAAAAGTTTCAAGAGATTGTAACTGCATGAATAACCCATGAATAAATGGGAGAAACTTAAGCAAAGTCTTCATCTTCGATGAACCTCCCAACCTCCCTCAATGCAATGATCTAATACTAACATCTGTCATGGTCTAATAAACATATTTTTCAAAGACAAAAAGGAAAATGCAATACCGTGCAATAAGTGAGATGAAAAGACCCCTTAAAGTGAAAGCGAAATGGAAAACGATAATAAAAAATAACAAGGACGAAAATTGAAGTAGACCATGCTTCCAACATCCAAGAGCTTGGTTCAAGGAACGTGAAATCAAAACTCATAAACGTTCTGGAATCATAATTAAGCAGGAAGGCGGGCTCACTTTTTGCTCCATCCCTGCAGGATAGAAGAGTATACAATCAAGATGTAACCACAAAACAAGCAACTATATCACCCAAGCAATGTAACCACAAAATGGAGGAAATGCCGAAAGAAGATTAATGGAAATCCTATGGCATTCCACTTCCAAGCAAATTGAAAATTAAAAATTAAATCTTACAAATGAAACAAGGCAGGTATAATCATGATAGGCATTTAGTAAATGTTTGATAGAGAAAATTAAAAATCATAGGAAAGCAGTTGATGCTTACAAGGTAATGAACATAAAATCTCCATTCGTTCATCTTGAAATCGACTTTGGTCACCTTGCAAACAAAACGCAAACCACAGTGAGATTTACTGAAAATGTTCATCGGTGATCAATTAGCCAAAACGCTCTATTAAATTCGAGAAATTGCAATTAATGTTACATTAAGGCACATAAAACCCTAAGAATCATATAGAATTCAATCGCCGATAGAGAGACAGAGACAGAGACAGAGACAGAGGGTGGAAGGGAGAGTGCGTGTGTGAAAATGAGTACCTTGGCTTCGTAAATTTGGGTCTCATGAAAAGCGAGCACCTTCTCGCCTTCGGAGAAGGGGCATGAATCGGGGGAAGGAGCGGAAACTTCTTCGTCTTCACCGTCGATCATGTCAGAATCGGTCTTGGTGGCGGAGCTGTCAGACTGGGTGGCGGACGAGTCAGTATCGCTAACGACAGTCTTGGAGCCTCTCATTTTGGTTTTGGGTGCTCTGTTGCTTCTGCTTAATGATTAATTAGTAAATTGATTAACATTAACTAACATGAACTATCCAGAAAGTTCGATTGCTGTTTGCTTGAGAACTAGTCTCGTTATGGCGGTTCTTCTTCATCAGAGTTTGCATCTACTTTATTTATAGTTACGGATG